TCAAGGCTGTGCGGAAGGCCTGGACGGTGGCGAGGGTGCGAATCGCTACGGGGAGCTCGTTCCAAAGGGTCGGGGCTACTACTGAGAAGGCCCTCCTCCTTGTAGTTGCCAGCCGACACTGGCTGGCCGATGGTATACGGAGGAGGCCTAATCTATGTGATCTTATTGGTCGCAGGGATGTAATTGGCAGATCTGATAATAAATTTTCAGAATGATTTATTACTATTTTAGCCTCTGTAATAAAGGTGTAATCCTTGTTTTAGCCAAGAGTGATTGTCAGTACATGAGTAATTGTATAAGGAATTCGTTGTTCTAATATGTAGAGTAATGATAATCTATATTGCAGAGAGGTTGGGGTGGGGGGCAATTGAGTCTCCTTCAGCAAATGAAGAACTGCAGTTTGTTTCATCTCTTACCACTGGCTTCTTTGGATAAAGCTGCTGGAAGTTGTGTTCAAATCAGGAAGCTAATAGCTTCTATTGAGGTAGGAAATTCTATAGGAATTAAAACAATGCACTGCAGTGAATAGAGTCAGAATTATGTGCGACTGATGAAAGTTAAACCATATCATTTGAACACATGGTCTTGGGTAACACTTTATCTCTCAATCCAATCTGCGCACAGACAAACAGCACAGCTAAATTAATTATGTAGATTGCATTATTATTGTTACGCCTTTTATTGTTTGGATCATTTTAGTAACATATAGGCTGTTAAAGAGAAAAGTAGAAATCATGGTTCTGTGTTCTTCTCTTGGTGGGAATTGTTACCTTAAGGAGTGAGACGTGTTAAAAGAGAAGAATTCGAGCACAATGCAGAAAATATGGTTCGCTACAAGAAAGAGCCTTCCAGATGCCCAGTATGTGGAAAGGTAGGATTTCCCATTGGTGTGTGTGTGTGTGTGCACGTGCGTGCATGTGTGTAGATTTTAGAGGTATGTTCATGCAAGGGAGTACAACAGCTTTGCTGCACTGATTCAGTATTTATGATCATTAAAAGCCATATGACAACTGGACAAAAATCCTACTAAACAGCATAACCAATGAAGCCATGGATTTAGTGCGTACTTCAGGAAACTTATTGTTTGTTTATTGTCCTGCCTTTATTATTTTTATAAATAACTCCTTCCTTCTATTTTTCCCACAACAGCAGCCCTGTGAGGTGAGTTGATATGAGAGAGTCACTCGGCCAGTTTTCATGCCTAATGTGGAACTGGAACTCATGGCCTCAAGAGTTTCTAGTCTGGTATTTTAAAAAACTAGACCAAATTATATTGGCCAGCTCCCTCAAATTGCTATCCAGGTGTTTTGGAGAATATCTCTCATCATCCACTGCAAAAATGTTTGTGCAGTAGTTAGAGATGAAGTATAAAACATATCAGGGGCAATAGGCTGGGAAAAGCTATTCTGGGATATCTGGAATGGTTGATTGCCAATTTTATACTGAGTAGGCTCCCTCAGATTTTTTTTTGCCTTTTGAGAGTTATAGTCAAATAGAACAGATTTTGGGGAAGATATCGACACTCTTCTCTCTTCTCCAAATGTCCTGTGAAGATAAGAGCTTTCAGAGTTCTTCAGAAATTTAAAAATGATTCCAAAGAAATGGCGCCATTACAAAGAAAACCTTTAAAGTTTGGTTTAGCTTTGGTTTATTGGATTTATATGCCGCCCTTCTTCCAAGGACTCAGGGTCGCGTACAACATTAAAAAAACACATATTACAAAAGTAAAAAAAAAAAAAAAGAATATCCAAAACAAACCCAATTAAGATTAACAATAACATTTTTTTAAAGAAAATTCGATTAAAATTAACAATAATC